ATGCAGTTTTATAAACTTTTAAAATGGCTAAAATTTCGCTACCAAATATACACCTACACCATCGTATGCACATGCATGGCTATATAGTTACACATATTCCTGCAAGGATATCATATTTGCGCACTTGCAGTTCATTGCAGTGCAGAGAAAGTTATGAACATAAAAACATTTGAATACTTCTTTATTCCATGAATTTTTATTACGATTTCGTCTATGGATTTTATAAATTTTAATAAATTCAAAGCATAAATATTTAGGCAAAGCTTGTCAGTAAAATTAACATACTCATATTTAATATAGCACAGCTCAAATAAAATGGAAATTGTATAAAATAGTTTCCTTCGAATCGTATTCAGAGATGTCCACAAGTGTGTGTGCATCTTACGATATCACTGCAATAATTGCTTCTATCAAAACAAAATAGGTTCTACCAGTGGCGTCGTAAGCATAAACATCATTCCTGGTACAATCACCATTCAAAATCATATACGCGAGTATATATAAACATATACAGTATTATGTATTCAGTTATTATTGTGACCCATACTGGGCTTAGAGTAAGTCACTGAGCCCTGTTGCGTCGATAAAAATATCAGGAATTCTTCTCATGAAGACAAAACCGAATTTGCCGAAATACATTTAGAAATATACTAAAAATTTACGCTTGAAATAAAAGTTAACGTTCCCAGAAATACAAAAACAGACTTTAAGATAAAAAGTTGTTCTATACAACAGAGTTTTACTTTACAGAGTTTTATTGCCCCTTCCGTAGGAATCTATTCCATGTGTGTATTAGCATAGGGCATTCTTACAGTACATATGTTGCTGATTGTTCGTAGTATCTACAGTTTACATCCATATAAATTCCCAGTCTAGTAAGGTGGTATTTAAGTTGATTCTAAGTCTTTCTTTTGATAAGTCCATACATTGCTGGTATCTCTTATTGCAATAGGTACCAGTAAATGATTTAGATTATGCTAGAATCCAGAAGATTTTCCCAATATTCATTTTTTTATGATTCTTTTACATTTTTATATGAGAGAAAAGGTTACTATGTGTTAGTTCAATGGTAAAGATGTAAAATCTTATAAATAATTATATGTGCATGATCTTTGTTGCCCCTATGTGAGTGCTGCTTTCCAATCTATCCCGTACTGGATATCCCCCATTGTTTGTTCACTCCCATTCTACGACACTGGATGCCGGTAAGTTTTTTAAATTTATTGGATTCAACATGTGTATTGGATTCAAAATATTGGATTTAAATGGAGTTTCAAGTGTGTAATTGGTTTATGCTACAATTGCTGTTTCTTAGTTTTTATTCAAAAAAATTGAAATCAACAATCAAAATAGTAGCAATATTGGTTAAATAAAATGTAAAAGAACTAATCAAATTATAGAAAAGCACAAGACAAAAAAACCAATAGAACCAAAATGAATTGGTGGTTATGACTTCAAATAATAAATAATGCATATCAATATAAGATTATGTTTATTGATTAGTGCAAATAGTTTTGATAGTCTTTGCATTCTAGAAAAACTATCATAGTTTATTTAAATATCTTAGTTTAAAAAAAGTGACTTTGACAGAGATTAGTAAATAGAATAAAGCTGGTAACTTTAAATGCCTTTTTATTGATTGAAATTCAATATTGTGATGTTCAAAGCACACATACAGAAGTTGAATTGAATTGCTTTGTATAAGGAACACATATTCTATATGTGTATATCAGTTGCACCATACTCATATATAGCACTACAAACCTAACAAACGGAACTATCTGGGTTGCCGCTGTTTTTGGAAGCCCAATTAAAAATGTGACTAGGAACAAGTGGTGCGATATCACACCGTCCAACAAGTGGCCTCGCTGAACTAAAAGATTAGCTGAAATAGAACACGAAATGACTTGAGTGTTTTTTAGTCCTTCGTATTCTCGGTTGTCGTTATTGAGTTAAAGCTAAATTGGCTACCGTTCGCATAACTACATTTCTTGTTCTTGCAAGCAGCTCATTTAGCTTAAGGTGGCCTGCCAAGTCATTACCAAGCCAATGGTGTCCCCAGATAGTCAGATATAGGTACGAACATAGACATAGTTTAAAAGTGTCTTCCTCAACATGAGTTGTCATTTTGAGTTTAGTCTGTCTACAAGTGCTCAGCTCTCTCTATCTGTTAAGAAGAAGTAAAGTTATACATATATCGACATAGGCTAAAGTCATGTGTTAGCCCAATGGTATTCTGGGCTTTGAATACCATCTGCCTTTTTGTTTTGCTTAATACCGATATGTCCTTTAACCCACATGACTATAACCTATAACAAAATATTACTTTTCAAATATATTTGAAACCAATATTGACTTACGGTATACCATTTTGAGGACACATCGCAAAAGTTGCATTACTGCAATTATTTCAGAGTATAGTTGATGCACCATTCTATCTATGATAGAATGATCTTGTTATCAATGTAACGCAAGAATATGTCAAAGTTCACGGAATGAGCGGAACAACATCACCTAGCAACATTGAAGCATCGTTTCTTCTTCAAAGGACTGCGCAACGATGATGCTTGAAACGTATAACTCTCAGATGTTGTGACGAAACGGGAAGCACCTCATATATTTATATATTGAGCTATGTATGTATAGTAGTTTTATTTCTTTTTAGTTAACCTTAATAAAAATTTCTGGTGAGTATGTATTTTATCTATGTACTAATTGTAATTTTAAAACGTTTGTGTCTAGCATTGGGTAAGGTGAATGAAGGCGGAAAATACTCTTTAGTAAAGTTAGTTTCAAATCATGCTTTAAATAAATATTTTCTTATTATATCTTTAGGTGGAAAACACTATTTACATTTGTGAATAAATTTTAATTAATTAATTTAATTTATTAATTTATAATTCATTTGAATTATAATTTAATTGGCCTATGGCAGGTTTTCCCTTTAGTAATGTGAAAAAATAAGCAGCTATTATTAAAGCTTTAATACATCCTTTAAGGTTTGCCTATTTACTGTTCTAATATTCTATTTTATATCCTATAAACTTAATTAATTTAAATAAGAACACAATTTTGCGTAAGTATGAAACATTAATATAAATACTCCTGTGTTTAACGCCATTCCTTTGCTTTCGTTAGACCTTAAATGTATTGTTTTCGGTTTTGCCAGTGCGCGACAGTTGAAACGGTACTCTCCTTGCTTCAACCAGGATATTCAACTATTGTACGTACTGTACGTAAGGCGGAAAGACAAGTATGACTTGCTTAAGCTTTTAAATTCCTACGAATTTTGAACATTTACATGTCATTGCCCTGTGGCGTTATTACAATTGAAGTTAACTGACAAAAGGACTTTCGTTTGAGAAAGGTTTAATTTGATTTAATACCTTTTGACTTTATTGTCGCACAGTATAAGCATGTTTTTGTCTCTTATAAAATGAAAGCTGACCTTAACAAAAATCAATAATATTTGTGTTACAATAGGCAATGCCTTTTAAGTTACGAAAGGATTTCGAAAAATCCACAAAGTCCTCAAAAATTCATAAATGCCCCACACGTGTGAAATGCAGTTGATATGGTTTTGAGTATCTGCTACTGAAAATTAACTCGGATCCTTACGTTATATTTGCCATAGGTACATAGGAAGAAATAGTTAAAGTATCAGATATTAATTACAACTGTTGGAGGGGTGAATACGAGTATTAAAATTCTATTTCAGAAAAATTATAATGATTTCGTATTTTTTAAATATTCAACTTGTTATAGTTTAGCACAATTATTCCATCTTCCATCTTTAATTTATGTTATTTATGCAAACATTTCTGTTTTTCTAATAACTTAAAAATGCAATATATTTATGTCATAATCTAAGTGCTGAAGTGCAAAAACTTTTTCACAATCTTGCTTTTATTACCAAGGATTATGTGCCACACTAAACGTAATGGTCTATGTGTGAAGTTGTAAATAGGCTCTGGAAAATCCTATTTTATGGCAAAAACTTGGTGCAGCAATAAAAGGGATTTCACTTAGTTCTATTACTCGTACTTGTATGAGTGGGATAAAAATTCCACCCTATTTGGGATTATTTATTTATGCCAATTTCAAAAGTTTTGATTGTTTTTGCAAGCAGTCGATTTTGTGCTTTCTGGAATATCTTTTTCTGTTATTATGTTGAGATATGTCGACTTTGACTACATATTGTTTATGAATTTTGAGCAAAAATAGTTCTGATACTCTTTCAAATCTTCATGACCTTATCGTTACACCATAAAATCGCCAATTAAAAATGTATAATAAATTAAGTGTTATTCTTCCAAAATATCTTAAAACATTTTAAAGCAGTGTTTGTTAATAGTTTTGATTTCAGTTCATCAAGAACTTTATTTTGCTCACTTTTTACAATTATTTTTACTACTAACTTAAACGTTTCAACACAAATCATGAAATTCATAATATGTTAATATATAAATATACTATTTTTGTAAATATATATTATAATTTAGTGTATAATATATATTAATATAAATTATGTAGTGTTTTCTTTAAAAAAAATTATACTATTTATTTAGAATAAATATATTTAATTAAAAAAAGAATTTTTTTTTAAGATACAAAATCTATTTCTTCTAAAAAATAATATTAAGGAGTGCTGACTCTGAACTTCAAGTTTGGCAGGACACGATTTCGATTTCTTGTACTTACAGTTTTAAAAAATTATTTTCGAATAATTAAATACAAGAATTATTTCCAAGATCACTGATATTAGGTATTTGGAAATAAATTAAAAATAAATAAATATTTTATTGTTACAAATAAGATTCTAAAGAGATTAAAGACTCTAACCCAATTACGTAAATCTTCCTTTGATGTATTTTTATGGTTTCGTTATAGTTTGCGAATACTATTCCATAGCTGTGGACAAAAGTACTGACCAAACTAATATAAGTCAGTTATTACTTTTCATCCGTTGTGTATCAGAGGATTGTATAATTACCGAGGAAATGCTAAATTTAGTGGCATTACATGGAACAGCTAAAGGTAATGAGAAATGTACTTGTATTGTAACTGATGAAGCAAAAGCTATGACGAGCAGTGGCAGGATTACAGGACTTTTTAGACGAAATGGTGTTGAAAGCGCACTAATTCAGTGTATCGTACACCAAGAAGTCATATGTGGAAAATTTTTACGCCCAACGAATACCCCGGAAGTTATTGTTAGAATAACAGATCTAATAAGAGGGGAAAACAAAACTTTGACGCATAGAAAAATTCGTGAATTTTTAAGTGAAATTAATGCAAACTAAGGTGATTTTCTACTATATTCTACTATATTATGTACTATGTAAGTGAGTTTAAAAGCAAGCTTAAATTATTCAAAATATCAATAGAACAGAACGATTTTTATTTTTTTCCGTGTTGCAAAGTACATTACCAGAGATGGAAGAAGTTGAAGAATCCTATTTTTCTTAGTTCACCTGAAGTACCTTAATAACATAAATATTGAATTTGAGCAACGTCTCAAAGATTTTAAATTCTTAGAGAGCGAAATATCTCTTTTTTCAAATCCATTCACAATTCCAATTCCAAATGTAAAGACTATTGGAATTATGTGACCTTCAAGCAGACCTCTTTTCAGAAGCAGAACAGAATCTGAAGTTGAACTTTTTAAGCTATTTGGCGAGAATTTCCTAAAACTATTAAACTTTATATTAAAATTGTGATCGATGATGAACAGTACTCATTTCTATGAAAACGCGTTTTCAACTTTTAATTTTATAGAATCAAAACATAGATCTTCACTGACTGATAAATCACTTACACAAGCACTGGGTTTAACAACAACTAAAAATAATGTTGATATTGATAGAATTATTAAAGATAAATGAATAAACAATTATTTAAACTAAATTTAACATTTTGATCATTAATTTATTTTTCCCAAAAAAAATAGCGAACGCTTATATTTGCCTCTGCGGCTCCCAAACTGTATAGTGATTTGTACTGGCCCGCGCTCGCATCTGGTCTGTACAGCCCTGTCCGTTTTTCGTTATTGTAATCTATATTTTCAGTGAATTATAAAAAAAATATCAAAACAACAAAAAAAATGCCTCGTAATTAAGTTATTTAATGATTTAAACGATAAAAATTGTAATAACTAAAATCTTAATTGTTACCCACTCATTGCTATAGATCTGGACGCCAACATCGAAACTGAGACAATAGAGGTACAAATAGAAACAATTTCAATTAAAAACAATATTGAAATATTGACCATAGCGGCATCCCTCAAAAACTAATTTTATTGGCTTTACAAAACTCCATCATTGACACTCCTTGATATCATTTACATCAGAGAACTGCAACGAGTCATAATTTTAACACTCAGAGTAGATTCATAAATATCAAGAATTCACAAGAATCCATATACTTTTATAAGTAGAGCAGCATAGGTACATAGCAGATGACACGTGAGTTATAGCATATACTCGAGTGGAATAAGTGTACTTGAGTGTACTTATAAAAAAAAGAATGATTGCCGATTCGATCAGCATTCATAAAAAATTCGTAGAGCTGATGAGTTGGTTTGGCATTTGTAAAAATTTTATTTAGTTTTATTTTTATTTTATTTTTTTTTAATTTTATTTTTATTTTATCTAAAATTCTATTCATGTTGTGTGTTGGTGTTATGTTATGCGTTATGTCATGCGTTGTTGCTGTTAGCATTATAAATGCATATATTTCGTTTGTGCTCTTGAAAAATATGTGCGCATTGAATTGGGGATTGTTTTAATTGGAAATTATATGCACAGTAAACGTAACACTCACGAATGATCATGAGTGAAGTGGAGTCGAGAAGACAAAAAAGAGAAGCAGAACGGTTAAGAGTGGTCGTGATATGTACCCTATAGCCCCTTCGACTCAAATGTCAACCTCTCCTTCACGTAGGTATTCGAGCACACGGAAGGATAACCGTGCAACAACAGCTTAAGTGAGGAAATTCCTTTAGCAGCAAAGATTCAGAGGTAGATTTGGACGCCAACGAACATAACAAACTTTGTCTACAAGGTAGCAGTCCTATCACCGAGATAGGGAGCTCTGGGCTAATTATTCGCGGTTCTCGAATAAAACGTGATTCGAGTATTTACAAGAGAAGGCATGCGTTTATGTGAAATTCAGCTAATGATTTGAGTATGACTCGAGTGTTGAGTACTCATTGCAGTTCTTTGAGAAATATATACTTGCCAAAGCACATATACTCCATTACTAATGCAATTGATATCAGATATAACATCGAGTACATAAGTGAAATCAATTGAAGTGTATAGAATCGTATACGGTTCGCAAGTATCGCAAAAAGTGTATAATATAATACATGAAGAAAAAGAAAATGTAATAATTAAAACGGTAAAAACTTCTGGAAGAAATGAGAAGAGTACTGGAAGAAATAATCATTTTGAAGGTTTAGCACAATATTTCAGAAATTAAATGATGCCAGTAAAAAGAAAAAATGAAGAGGGAAGTAATCGCATCAGACAAATGGAAATAGTAAATGTTAACAACATAATACTAACGACGAACGACGATTCGAATAAGAAAATTTGGAGAGAATAAACCACCATGACGATTTCAGATATCACATAATCGTTTGATGAAGTCGAATATAAACTATTGATTTTAAAAATCGATGACTATTTGTCTACAGTCAGAAAAAGAAGTCTGCGTTCAATAAGCCATTCTACCATCTTCAGTTTGCATATGTATTGTGTGCTTGAATTGAGATGTTAAGAACATTTCAAATGTCTCAAAAAGTATGCTTATAAGAAATGAGAATACATTTGATAATGGAAAATAAGACTTAACCAAAATTAAACAAAGGCGATTTTTTATTTATGAAAGTGTTTTCAAATTGGAATAAAACTAAATGCAATAAATTTATACCAATATATGGCGTACCAATCCAAAGTAGGTGAGACTATCACTAGAAAAATGTTTTACAGAAAGTCATATATTAAAAGTGCAAAATCTTTTAGTACAAAAATATTTAAACCTCTTCTTTCTATTCTACATAAACAATATAAAATAATGAACTAATCTACAAAAAAAAAAAATAAAACTATTTGCGTATGTTAAGACTGCATGAATGTAGGTTAATGGAGTCTTACCATATATTCGTAAAGAAAGATATTCGTAAAGAGCTGAGAGTCTACACAAAAAAGATCCCAGAGTTAAAACGATTAAGCTATTTTGTTCGATAGATGTTCACGAAAACTTCAATACTATATTATATTAAGAACTTAAAAAGTTGTGTCAAAAAAGTATATCTTGACATTCAGACACTTGACATAAAAAATGTTATATGACAACATTTCAGAAAAAAATTTTACACATTTTCAGAGAGACACACACGAGTGTCTTTTTACCAAAAGAGTAAAGGCTTTAAGTGTGACAAACTAATCGATTGATATAATAACGAAGAACTCAAAATGTTATAGTTCCTTTCTTATAGGTATACTATAGATGATATGTTAACAATTATTTCGGTGCAATAAAAAATACAGATACATTATTGGCAGAAGAGGAAAGGATTTTTTATTAGAAAATAATACGGTATCGAAGATTTTAGTATCTATCGGAACTATTAGTACGTATTGAAGAAATTGTATTACATTAATCTGAACGAAATTGTAATTATCAATAATCCACGTTTGTATGATGTACGATACAACTGATCACAATGTCAGTTATCTTCGTTATTTTCATTTCATTTTTTGTTTTTATCACTATTTTTTTATCAATATTGTAACGCGAATAACTTATATTAAGTAAATACTATTATGATAGTATTCTAAAGATGGCTACACCGAAAAAATTTTCTCAATCTTCTCAACTATGGTATGTGTGAGGCATAGAGACATACTAGTAAATATGTAACGACTGATTGTTTTGAGCTTTAGAAAAAAATTTTATGGGTGTCAAGATCTTGAAACTTTAAAAGTTCAACAACAAAAAGAGTTCCAGTATTTGGCACGTACTTACAAAAAGATTAAACACCGTTGGCTTAAGGTGCTAATTACCATGAAACGGTTATTTTTGGATATCGGAATAGTTTCTTTCCAATAAACTTAGTAAATATTGTATAGATGGATTGTAAAAATAATGTGATTGATAAATAAATAATTTACAGTTTACACCGTCGTAATTAAGTCGACAAGTGTCCGCCCAATAACAGATATTTTCCAGACAAATCGATACAAAAATATGATAAATGAGGTTTGACAATTGTAGGTGTAAACATAGTGTAAAGTATTTGTATTGATGTCATTGAAATTGTATAAAAAAAGAAGTCACACAATAATATGTCAATCAAATTTTTTTTTGATTTAGATAAAATTATTCTTATTCCACACAAAATCAATTTTTGCTCTGACAAAACTATAAAAAAATTTCCTTTTGGTTTTTTTGTAAAAATTAATACGTTAATATTATTTACTGAATATCGTTCAGTGTCGAAAATATATTTCGTCCGATGGCTGCAAAGTGTAACATATACTCGGAAAAGAGAGAAGACGACTATGGCATCTCACCTGATAGTAAATTAGCTGATTTATACAACGAAGACGAACTCACATCGGTGTACTATAATAATCTGGAAGAATTAGAAAAGGTACTGAAAAGCGATATTCATGCATGCTTCGGGAAATGGTCAATATTTGTTGCGGCTGTCCTAAACCGTCGATGTGAAGAATTGACAAATGTTATTCCCCCAGTATATTTTCACAAAACGAAAAAATGTGACATTAACCAGTTGATTAAAGTTATAAATGCAACCCCAGGTCTGTTTGTAATGTTTCACTATATAAAGCATAGAATCATGAAATATTGTTGTCCAAAAGTAATTAATTTAATGCATTGGGTTTTAGTAATTAACTCAGAACCAACACTTCGTACAGTGAAGTGTGATGAGTTACTTTGGATTTTATCAGACGTTAAGTGTACTAAAGAACTGGAAACTCCAATATACGTTTTCGAAATTATGTATCCAAAAGCATCTAGATTGAAATTACTCTTCCGAACTAGAGCGGTAGGACATAACACTTATTACGGTTTTTGTGGTTATCCGATGGATAGGTTATATGAAACCTTATTTAAGGGTATGCATTTAGTTCAAGGAGCAGTTCACCTGAGAAATGATTTATCAGAAATTTTTAAACGTACTACTGGTAAATGTAATGGAAACAGAACTTTAAGTGGACTGCTGACACGATGCGTTGCTATGTGTCAGTACGTTGATGATGAAAAATATATAAACCACCATCACGAGCCTAACACTTCAGAAATACATACATTTTGCTTAAGAGAAGATATAGTCCTACCACGTTATTTGTTTTTCTATGGTGAAAAAGTGCAATCAACGCCATCTTCAGACATCGACGAGAGCATTAAAGCAGTAGAAAAGCAATTGCATGAAGATAACGACAAATACTGGACTATAGGTTGCCTTCTGGCAATTGCAACTGTTGCGGTTTGGTTTAATTTTAATTGAAGTAAGACAATTCTTAAGTGGTACAATTACTGTAATTATTACCTATAGTCCGATGTCCAAAAATTTCTTTCAAACAACTGCCCATGATTCAGTTATGTTTAAATTCGAAACGCTGAAGTCGAAATAGTATTTAGAACAAAAATAAATTAATTTTACTGTGTTCATTATTTTACAATAAAACCAACTGTGATAAGAAAAATAAATATTTTTTATTGTACCTCAAGAAACAAAATGAAAATAATAAGTCGGGTGGACATAGTCTAGTCTTATATTAAGAAATTCTTAACTGATAATATTCGTACATTGGTTCGAAGAGCGTATTAAATTATTTACGGCTACTGAGAGTTTCTGATAGGAAAGATCTACCTAGTGGTTGTGCTCCGGTGTGGGTTTATTTTGCTGTTAACATAGGTTCAATAAGGTTGAATTATACTATTTTTGTAATTTATTAAAGCTTATCATTTTTGGCTAACTGCATAAATCACGGTAGCTTAAAAATCACCTTGAACCTTAAGTACAGCCTGTAATGCTCTTTGAAACAAGGTTGTTATGTCGATAGGTAAGTAAAGCGTAGCATCAAGACCTGCTTTTAGGTTACAAATCTAGGAAAGCTTCTGTGTAACTCATAATGGCCAATTTTTAAAAATTGCCTGGAAAAGCTTGAACACCGTCGAGTTAGATTCTCCTCCACCAAACGATAAATGTCATACTACTGGAACCACAACTTTTAGCGAGAAAGTAATCATCTTAACATAATTTTAGAATAAATGGATTAAATATCCGCCAAATTAAAGGTTCTTGAATTGGGTACGACAATTGAAGCTATTAATTAAGTTTGTGTTCCATTTTACAACAGTCGACGTCATGTTTTCATCCATTTTTATACCTATAGTTTACTTAACTAATTAACAGAGTTAAAATTGGACCAGTTGCATTTCGAAGATTTCGCAATCGGAGGCGTATCTAAAGCACTTTCACCAAGTTAGAATTCTATACATCAATATTCAAATAAAGGTACTTGTAACACCACACTCCAGTTAGAAATAGACTCTGACAATTTACCATAAGTAAGAATAGGATCCATAACTTACTAACTCCTGGCTGTAACGAAAGTGGGAGATGTACAAACAATTTTCAACAGCTCATTCTAACAGGTATTAATTAGTTTAATTGTAAATAAATAATTTCTGAAATATTGTTTTCTATGTTAAAATAAATTGTGTGCCTAACTCGTCACATAATATCATATCTCAAAAGACTATAGAAAACTCTATATATAAAATATCATATTATGGATCACTTAATGGAGGATTCTTTATTTGATTATGCTATGAATGTTTATGGCAAAGCAAGACCAGTGGTAATAAAGACCACGAGAAGAGCGTGATGAGTATTCCAACAAAATTATTTTCAAACAACCAAGCCGACATACTGACATGGGTTTTGGAAAGGTAATATTAAATAAAATTATTAAATTAATAAAAATTTCTTGAGTAATACAAATATATGTAACGGTCACTACAAATAAATATGTTTGTATTCTTATGATAGTCGATGATGGCATGGACAAATTATTGACCCAGGAGAACCAATGGAAATAGACTGAAGAGGATCCATTTGGCGCTTATTCTGCATTATTATCAATCATGTCTTTGTTTATATGTGTTTCATTTTGATATTGTGTTATTGTATTTATAAATAATATCATAGTATCGTTACTAGAAATGGATAATTACGAGTTTCCTTAAACTGTTTAAACATGAACTCATGACTTCCATGGTACATGAATGAATGTTATTCATTGTGTGATATATACTCGTATTAATACATATTGAGTCACTTGGATAGGCTTTGAGGTAAAAATTATTTTATCGTTGGTGTAAAGGTGTAACGTTTCCACTGGATCAGTGTCCATAAATTTACGAATGGTTTTTAATAAATTTATGTCTTTCATCATTCGGAACGTTAAGTGTATATTACATTTCATATTACATTTGATTACAAGTGTTAATTCTGCAGTTAGAAGCATCCCTCCACAGTTTTACCAACCACTGAAAATGCATTTTTTTGGAATGGATACCCAAATTGGAGAAGTTTAAACTTTTTTGTGTGCTCCATACTGACTAAAAACTGATCTAACCAGAGAATCGAGTGTACTTCATTAAAACATCTATAAAAATAGACATGTTTCTATAAAATGCGGACATGTTTTCAGTCTACTACAATTACGCAAATTTTCTCTTGATGTACTGGTAAAACCATATCCATTTATTTATATGGTTCACCAAAGAAATAAATTTAAATTGATAAATTAAAAATATTCAATTTAACATTCTAACCGTATTTATAATGTTTTTATAATAACAACTAAGAACGAATGAATTTGTTTCTGTGGCCCTGCAATCTGTACAGTAATTTGTATTGGCCCGTGATCGCATCTGGTCGGGATAACCCAGGGTTAGTACGTAAGAATCAAACATATTTGGATAATTTATGTGAATATACTTGGTTTATCTGATAAAAACAATTTAAAGCAAAAACTGAATATTTTTTATACGATATTATTTTGTTTAAGTGATATAGTAAATCAGAATTTGGAATGCAAAATTTTTATCCTTCTTTTTATATTATAGAGCAAAATATTACTATTACATATGTACAATGTCTTATATTGTAGTTATTTCCATTTAGGATCAGTGGAGAATGGATGTAATGGAAATATACAGATGACTTAAAACTGGCTCAAACTTCGATGTTTAGTGTCATATCTTCAATGTACGAGTAGTTATGCTGATTTCTTCTGTAATTTTGAATATATCATCACCATCTATAATATATAATGTTCTTCGTAATTTTTAATATAAACTTATTATTTCAATGTAATTCGTCCTTACATTATAAACTAAATAAATGTAAAGCATAAAGTATATTAAGTTCGCGGTTTTTTATATTCGAACAATTACTTATATATATTAAGTTATACAGAAATACTCATATAAAATAATACATAAAGGTATATAAATTTTATCGTCGACTTTGTATGTATATTAATAGAACTGAAAACTCTATAGTCAAAACTTTTTTTGAGTATACTACCCTTATACACAAATGAAAAATCTATCTTTTTGCTGGTTTTAAAACTATAACTTACTAAGTTATAGTTTAAATATATTACTTGATCTTCACTATATAGAAAACGACATGTTTCTTCCGAGGCACACTACTGAGATTCTTATTAATTTTTTTATCTTTTAAATAAGAACTATTTACAAACTGTTTAATATAAAAAATGGGAACCATTTCAATTCTATTTGTGCCGCATTTGATAACTACATTTAGTAGTCAGCGATTTTGATTGAGCTTTATGTCGATGTTGTTTACTTCTTGAGTTGTGGGGGTTAGAAGTTGACTCAAATTGATAACACTAGCAAAAAATGTATATAGAGGCTCAAAGAATTCGAAAGTAAGCTTTGTGAGCATTTAATTAAATTACTGTTAATAATTCATGTTTAGATTTAGAACGATATATTTGGACTTTCTGAATATATAATTAATTTATAATTCCAAGCCATTTAAAGTGGATTTAAATGATTGGGTATACAAATATTGAATACCTTCATGGCAAGGGGAGTTCATATGGAAATGATAAATACATTAAGTAAATTTGCCTTTGGACCTGATTTGTAGACCGATCGGTTCATTCAAATTGGCTTTACAATCAATAAAGATGATGCATTTGATAGATCAGGACCTCAGCTTCATTAACTTTAGATGTTCAAAATATGAAATGAGCTATAGAAATGTATTCGATTGTAAGAAAGAGATTTAATGTCAGCTCTACACATTTCACTAGGGATAATTAGTAATATTTTGTATCAAGTTTCGGATATCAAAGAGTTATACACACGATAAATGTTACATGTTGTCTTTACTCGATGATTGTCACAACATCACAAATATACTGGCATTGTAGGTGAGTTCATTCTCACCTACTTATTTTGCTTTCGATTCTAAATTATTATATTGTCACTTTAAATTTTAAATAAGTACACTATTCTGATCTAAACACTAAAAAAAGTGAAACATAAAAATATAATTAGTTCTAAAGGGAAACGTGAAGAATGGGCTTCATTGCAAGATTTTTTGAAGCCATTCATTAAAGAAGATTTTTTGTATTGTATATTTTAATTAATTTCAAAAATAATTATCCATGCTTTTTACTTAATAAATTAAACTTAAACTTCTTGCTGTGGAAATTTAAATTTAAATTAAGAAAATTTTTACAAGTAGAAGAAATTGTTCATTGAAAGCGACGAATATATTTATTTTTTATAATAATCATTCAAAATGAAGGCTGTGTGGTTACTGTTTCACTTCATAGAAATAGTCCATGGAATAATTTTAATGTGCATTCATACAAAGGGGTTTCTAAATATGATAGCCAAAAACAAAGCATTTTCAAACGATATATACTTCCATATACCCGTATTTTTTGGGAGCACACTATTGACGATGAATGAAGTACTTGTCTTTCTGATAGGCAACCCTTCAACGGCAGAAAGGAGATGCTACCTGGGTATAATATGTGGCACTTTGCATATTATTTCCTCTGTAGTGACAATGCGGAACGCTGAAGTAAATTATTACTTGATATTTATGAGCAGTTTTGACAACAAAATGACGCCGTTTTTTGAGTATTGCAAAGCTCAAAGTATTTTCGGACTTTCAGGCGGAGCTTTTTATATAATGCGTGGGTTCGTTGCTGCCGATTATATGTTGACAACAAAGGTTGATTCTTCTGGCCAATTTATACCCACAGAAGCTGGCGAACCAATGATATTGTATTTTTGTGGAAGAATAGTTCACAATCATCTCATCAAAAATTTTAAGTTCTTCCGTATACTCAATGGCGTTTCGGATGATCCTAGAGCTTCGTTTGTACTTCATTAATATACAAATATCACTGATAAAGCCAAATTAAAGGACATCAGTTATAATTG